ACGCAGTTGGTCTTTAATCTATTTTTAACAAAAACCATTAATCACTATTTGATATATTACGCGATAATTGGAAAGTGCTACATCTGTTTACCGAAGTTGAGAGTTCAACTCCGCTACCAGGACAACTAAACCCCTCAACGATTCTGTTCATTTTTCTCGATGATAAATTGCTACTGGCATATGCCAAGGGGACAAATCAACTATCAAATTACTACTCCAAGCAATCTTCGAAAGAGGGAGCCATCGACAGCTTTGTCATGTAGCGGCTACTACTGGCATTTTGCTGCCACTCGGTCCCATATTCTCCGAATGTATTTAAACGAAAACGGAGTGAAATTTGTGGATTTTGGCTGTTCCGTATTTTCCACGGCTCGGACTGGCCTTTGCTCCAGAACGTTTGGTTCGGCTAAAAAATTTTTTACCAATTTAACCCAGTTCTGCCGCCTCACTTCGATCGTCCATTTTTCATTTGGCCATCTAATGGCCTTTACTTTTAAATAGTGATTAAGGGTGGATAAACCTGTTCAGGGCACGGGATTTCTAACTTTCCGAATTGGCGCCCAATTTGCCTCGCAACTCTGGGGAGCGAGCAGTAGTTTTCGTGAAAACGCAGCTATTCCCACTGATTTTGTCCAACCCAAAATTAGGGTACCCTTATCCTGATCAATCTGGGTAAAATTATCATCGGGCGACGGGCAGCCTCTTTTGAATCTCACCCACCAGCAACTGAATTTCACGTACAATATCATACTGCCCCACAACTTCGGGTACAATTACCCGAGGGGGAAGACAAAACCAACAGAACAAATAGGCCGAGAACATTGAAAACTTACATTTGCCTCATTTTAATCAACGAAAATGCCCGTTGTGCACTATCGTTGTTGACGAACAGCAGAAGCGCTTCCCGATAACGTGGATCATAGATCACTTCACTGAATGTATCCGTGAAAGATACACGCATTTTTTCACGTAGATAATCAGCCGAGCAACTTGGTGGTACCTCACTAATCCAGATCTTATTGCTTACAATTGTACGTCCCCAGTTTGCCTGAAAATTTCATGGATATTTCATGGTTTTACCGCAAAATACCAGTAATTAGAATCTATCGGGCAAAAAACCTGCCCAATTTTGCACTTCTTTTAGCTCAACTGCAACATTCTATAACAGATTTAGCCTAATTTTACGAGTCTTAGCTAAATTTCATGCCAAAATTTCATTCAAATTTTACACCTTTGATTGAATTCAGATACTAAATGCTACAATTTTCCGTTTCCATCTCTTTACCTTTATTACAAGTGACCAAATCTAGCTCAATTTTACAAATCCTAGCTAAATTTCATGCCAAAATTTCACTCAAATTTACAGTCTTCGAATGAATTCAGATACTAAATGCTACACTTTTCAGTATGCACCTCTTTAACTTGACTACAAAGTAACCAGATTTAACCTAATTTTACAAATCCTAGCAAAATTCCGTGCCAAAATTTCATCCAAATTTTACAGCCCTCGGTTGAATTCCGCATTTTTATTAAAAAATTTCAGCTCTTCAAAAAGTGCTACACTTTATGGTTTAATTTTTTGTAAAATCCGAAAACCAAAAATAACTGGAAACTCGACAAAACACCGGATATCATAAAAAAAAAACTCAAACTGGTAAAATCGAGATTAAACAAGGGAAGGAACCTATATAAAGTCTACTACTCAGTGTGAATGCGCCTCAAAAAGGTGAAAATTACGAAATTTTAATATCTAATCCACGTACAAGTAACTACGAAACGTCTTCCCCAGCACTAATTTAACACCAACACTTTGCAATTCCATTGTGCCACCAGTTCTGTTAATGTGGAAGTGAAACATGGAATACCACGCTTGCCGGGGAGGAAAATTTGACAAAGACTTGTACGGGGCTGATAAAGCCTTTTGCCAAGAATCATAGCAATAAAATACTTAAAACAAAAAAAACTTGCCTTTAACTTTCCTTTTGTTCCAGACATATGTGTCATCGAATGTGCACAGGAATTGATTGCACGTACCACTGATTGTATGTCGGCGAACTGAATAAATGCGAATGGCGACTGACTTTCCCAGTTCTTAACATCTGAAACCAAGAAAAAAAGCAATTACCCTTTTTTTTTTCCATAAAGCAATGAAAACCTGCTCTGAAGCAAAACGTTGGTCAAGGCTTTCTTATGATTCCAGGCAAAATTGACCAAATAAATGCAGACCTACTTCGAGTGCGAAAGAAAGTTAATAATGTGAGCCTAGATTCTGGTAAGATTGAAGAGCCAGATGAGGATGAGACAGGTATTAACGTCCCGCCCCCGCCCCTCCCCCTTTCCCCGCCCCGCAACATTCCCAAAACAAATGAAGACACTCGGAAGGTAATGTATACGACTTAATGGACCGAAACATTTCTTACCTATAACAAATATTTTTATATCCCTTATCT